TGCACATTTAAACCATATTAACAATTAACACTTTTGTTTAAAAGGATTATGTTAAATGGTTTCAGTCAAATGGATTTTACTTTTTATCCGTTAGACAAACAATTATGTGAAATACAAATTGAGTCAAGTTAGTGACAATTCTTACATTTATTCAAGCATGCCATTGTTTGGTTATTAGTAATAACTTATTAGATTTAAATAATGTTTTTTGTAAAGTTTAAGATTATTATTTTCTAATTAACAGATGAATTATCAGATAGTTTTTTGCGACTCCAATGGGCGGATGACCAGCCTCTGGACATACCAAATGACTTCAGTTGGACTGGATATGATTTAATGGGATATCATTTAAGAACTATGAAGTCGCTATACAGCCACACGGGAACCTTTAGTAAACTTGTGGCCACTTTTACTCTGAGGCGAGAATTTGGTCATTTTATACTCGATATATACATCCCTTCCGTTCTGTTTGTCATCTCTTCGTGGACTTCATTTTGGGTGGAAATACCGGCCGCACCGGCCAGAGTCACACTCGGCATCACCACTATGTTGACACTCGTTACCAGCGCTAAGACAGCACGAGATAAGTTACCCAGGGTCTCTTACATACATGCTTTGGATATATGGATTATAATGTGCACCTGTATGTGTGAATATTAATTATTCTTAAATTACAGAATTTATCATTGAATCTCATTTGATAGTTTTTATATTTGCATCACTTGTGGAGTACGCGACCGTAAACTTCATTTACCACAAAGAGAAAAGGAGATCAAACAAACCCAAGACTAATACCAAGAATAACATCCAAAACAGCACGGGTTTGAAAAGGACTTTAAGTAACATGTCGTTCAACAGCGGTGTAGACTCCATGTACAGCTCTATCACCAGTAATGGCTTTCTTAAAGTAATGTAAATTTAGTAAATGTTTGAATAGAAAATTAACTATATTTTCAATTGTAATGAATGACAGCCGCAGTCGGCGACACCCGATATGGGCTTAAGAAGAAAATCTATTGTGAGGACTGGAAGTGATGGTGGGATTGAGTTGATTGTACCTGAGCTTAAACTCGACGATATATCCATACCGTCAACCCGACCATCAATTATTAGTAACAGTAAACCAAACACCTGTTCCCCTGTATTCAAAGCCAAACCTCAAGATATTGCTAATGAGATCGATCGCAAGTGTCGACTAATATTCCCGATTAGTTTTCTCATAATAAATATCATTTACTGGACAACACTTATCTCGATGTCATAAGTTTGGAAAATTATTTTGATATTTAGTAATTACTATAACTTTATACCGGTACTTAACTTTGCAGCTAAGTAACTCAATGATTAAATTTGAGATTTTTAATAAACCCACTCATTTAAAACTTAAATTCTACTCTAAAATTGCATAAATCTTTGTGTTTTGTAAAGTTTATAAAACATTTTATGAATCAATAAAAGAAAACTTGCATTCATTTGAAAATGTAATGGTCTGTCAAAAGCCAATTTAAATTCAGACCTCAGGTTTCGGACACAACAGTCGCACACATGAAAGTTCTGTGTCTTAGTTAGGCGTTATTTTATATGAAATTTTATTAGCATTTCTTAATTTTGTACAATATTTTAATTTTGTTATAACTTTTAATTGAATTCATTTACAATGACTTCGCGACGAATGAAACTAATGGAAGAGTTGGACGAAAAGCGTCAAAAGCAATGGAAACTCAATAAAACCCGAATCGTAAACGAGTC